GTCTCTCCTCAACCACCACCAGTGTGCAGCATCCACCTGGATGATGCGACGGAAGCCACAGTACAACGGCGCCAGTGCGTTGACAGTTTTCCTGTCATTATTCAGTAATATTTGACTGCACACTACCATGATTGTCCAGTCAGAATAGTATTCCATTGAGCCATGTAATAAATAACAAGTTCATACTGACAGTCCTTAAAGGGATATTTCCCCCAAAAATTCTGTCATTGCTTGCTCACCCTCATGTCGTACAGTTTGACTTTTTCCTTTTAGAAATCTCTCTCTCTCTCTCTCTTTTACCAACCTGAAAAATATTTAATTCTTGTTATGAATAGACCAGTCGTCCACAGTTTATTTTTGTTTTGTGTCTGCACAGTGATGAGCAGAAACATTGCCCCCTAGGCACGATAAGAGGTAATAAGAGGAAGTATTACCTTATCTAATAATAAATTGTGGTAAAGATCTCCAAACTTTGTGAGAAGTTTTGTCTGAGAGAGTCTTAGGTTGAGGCGGTGTTGATATTTTAAACTACAGTCATGGTCAAAAGTTTTGGCAGTGACATAAATTTTGTGTTTTGCAAAGTTTGCTGCTTTAAGCTGTTGTGGTGAGTACTACTGAGGTTAATCACTATCATACTAATTAGTAAGAGCAGACTGATTGCTATAAAATGAGGGAAGAAGCGCTTCCAATGATTGTGTTCTTCTTAGCAATGGTTACCTCCAAAGAAACATGTGCAGCCATCATCGCTTTGCATCAAAATGGCCTCACATACAAGGAAATTGCTACAAAGAATATTGCCAGCAAGCACCAGGACCGTCTCCTCCTGAGGAGTCAGCTACAGAATCGTGTCAGCAGCAGTGCAGAGCTTGCTCAGGAATGGCAGCAGGTTGGTGTGAGAGCATCTGCACGCACAGTGAGGCCAAGACTTTTGGACAACGGCCTGGTGTCAAGAAGGGGAGCAAAGAAGCCACTTCTCTCCAAGAAAAACTTCAAGGACAGACTGAAATTCTGCAGGAAGTACAAGGATTGGACAGCAGAAGACTGGTGCAAAGTTATTTTCTCTGATGAAGCTCCCTTCTGACTGTTTGGGACATCTGGAAAATCGATTGTTCAGAGAAGAAAAGGTGAACGCTACCATGAGTCCTGTGTTGTGCTAACAGTGAAGCATCCTGAGACCATCCATATGTGGGGTTGCTTTTCAACCAAGGGAGTGGGCTCTCGCATAATTCTGCCCAAAAACACTGCCAGGAATAAAGAATGGTATCAAAATGTCCTACAACAGCGACTTCTTCCAACGATCCATGAGCAATTTGGTGATGATCCGTGCATTTTCCAGCATGATGGAGCACCATGTCACAAAGCAAGAGTGATAAAGAAGTGGCTCGAAGATCATTACATTGAAATTTTGGATACGTGGCCAGGCAATCTCCCCGGATCTCAATCCTATAGAGAACCTGTGGTCAGTCCTCAAAAGGCAAGTGGACAAGCAGAAGCCCACAAATTGTGATCAACTCACAATTGGCAAGAATGGATCGCCATCAGTCAGGATTTGGCCCAGAAGCTAATATCCAGCATGCCAGAGCAAATTGCAGAGGTTATAAAGAACAAGGGTCAACACTGTAAATATTGACTCATTATATATTTTTTTGCCAATAAAAGCCTTTAAAACTTATGTTATGCTTATCATTGTTTTTCAGCATACCATAGAAACGTGGGGAAAAAAATCTACAAATACTGAAGCAGCAAACTTTGCAAAACACAAAATTGATGTCACTGCCAAAACTTTTGGCCATGACTGTACAGTATATTATAGACCTGAGAGTAAACCCATAGCCTGTGTGCTGCTACTACTGCTACTACTCATTTCACATGCAAAAAGGTTAGCCAATCAAAATGGAGGGTATTTCACAGAAGCTTGTTCTATTGTTAGGGTCAGATATAGTGAGAAAAATGGTCATGAGATACAATATCATGACTGTTTAGGTCTTAACTAATATTTTTTTAGGTTATGGTCTTCCTTACAGAAGAAACAAAATATGTGACATGCCCCCTTTAAATGTTGCACATCCACATCCAAAATTTTAATTAAAAAAAAAAAATCAATACTTATTTAAAAATATAAATAAATAAATAAAATATCATGAATGCTTTGTGCTCTGCAGGGATTTATGAAGATTTCCAGTTGCCTTATTATGAGCAGGTGCAATCAGACCCATCAGTGGATGATATGAGGAAGGTGGTGTGTGAACAGAAACTCCGACCCAGCATTCCCAACCAATGGCAGAGCTGTGAGGTTTGTGTGATAAACCTACCATTCATGCAATAATATGTAGCATTCACTTATATGAGTAATCTATTGAGCAGTATACATGGATTTCGTAAGGCTTTGAAGGTTGATATTACACAACTTATTACTTAATTTCCTTTTGAGAACATTTTAAAAGAACACAGTAAAAGAAAATGATCCTCATTGTAAAGCTATTGTAGTGTTTTCTGCCGCTGCTCTGAGGGATCACACTCAGTCTTGGGGTTTTGTTTCCAGAAGTTAGACTTTATTTCAAACTGAACAAAGCCGAGAAGTTCTCTGCAGAGAAAAATCTCCAGAATGTTTTTCTGCCTCACTTTTTATACAGTTTTGACTTTAAGGCATGGGGTATACAGTCATAGCGTTTTCCTTATACATACAATTCGATTCCTCCCTAGAGAGAAGGGGCCCCCAAGTCTTGTTATGGTAAAGAAAGAAGGCCCACTTGTATTTTTCCAGATGTTTCTTATCTGAGGGTCTGTATATTTCAGCTCTGCAGGCTTTTTTCCACACCCAGGCTTAATTATAATGGTTTTTTCTACACCCAGGCTTATGTGATTATAATGGAAGAATAACTGGATATATAAATGGCTAGATTCGCCTTGATTATACTTGATTAATTCATATTTTGATTAATAAAAATCTTTGACACTATTACTTGATTATTTGTGTTTAAAGAGATAGTGTAGTGTCGTCCGCCGCTGCTCTGAGGGATCACACTCAGTCTTGGGGTTTTGTTTCCAGAAGTTAGACTTTATTTCAAGAAGAACAAAGCCGAGAAGTTCTCTGCAGAGAAATCTCCTGAATGTTTTTCTGCCTCTCTTTTTATACAGTTTTGACTTTAAGGCGTGGGGTATATATTTCATACAGTTTTCCTTATGCATACAATTCGATTCCTCCCTAGAGAGAAGGGGCCCCCAAGTCTTGTTATGGTAAAGAAAGAAGGCCCACTTGTATTTTTCCAGATGTTTCTTATCTGAGGGTCTGTATATTTCAGCTCTGCAGGCTTTTTTCTACACCCAGGCTTATGTGATTATAATGGAAGAATAACTGGATATATAAATGGCTAGATTCGCTTGATTATACTTGATTAATTCATATTTTGATTAATAAAAATCTT